CTGTGCGCGGGTAAGGACGGGGCGCGGCGTGGGGGGCTCGGGGAGGGCGCGCGGGGCCGGCCTCGCGTGCCGCGCGGTGTTTACCAACAAAGGGCGGGCCCGCGGCCTCCTTGCCGCGCCACCTGCATCCAGCTCGCACCTCCCGGTTCAGGGACTAGGGTCGCGCTGGGTGCCCCGCTCGCTGATGTTGGGTGGACGATCTTGTTTGTGCGGCGGTCTGCGGGTCTCCGGTTCGCGGAGGCGACCCCACGATGGGGACCGGGACCCGGACCCCCAGGCTCTGGGTTCTGGCTACTCGGGAGTGTGGAAGCCAGGGAGAGAGGAAAAGCAGAGCGTGGGGAAGGTGGCCAGGCGAGGCAGGAAGATCTAAACCCAGGGTGGCGGGATTGTAGGTGCAGCAGCGGCTAGGGGGAGGGTTGCGCGACCCTAAGTGCCACCAGATGTAGCGAAGCGAGGGGATTGCTTCTCACAGCTCGGAGGAGTCCCCTGCACCCCATCCCACCAGGGTCTGCGTCGTGTCGCGCGTGAGGCGGGCCGCTGGCATCAGCTCCCACCTGCGCCCGCTTTCCTTGCACCGGGCCTCAGGGCGCGAGGTGCAGCCACCCCGCGGGACCGCTTTGTTTTGGGCGCCTGGGATGGGAGGTGGAGCGAGAAGAAAAACCAACAGGTCCCTGTTCTTTCTGGGCTCCGGGAAGCACGTGTCGGGGGTGGGTGACCTGAGAGGCTAGCGTTCTTCTCGCACGCGTGTGGTTGAGTGTGTGGGTGCGGGTGTATATATGCGGAGTTCTGCCGGGGAGATGCTTTTTCCCACTGATTCCCTTCTATTGGTGCTGGGCGCGCCCAAACTGGGTGTGCGCGCAGCGACGGGCTCCGCGCTCGGGTTAGGATGGCTCCAGGCACCCCTGGGAAGCGTGGAGAGTCGCGCATTGAAGCTCCAGGAAGAAGTCTGGGGTAGTAGGGGAGGTTGGTGCGCGGCAGCCGGAGCGCCGGGTCCTGGCGTCTTTGTTCCCAGCCCCCATTACACATGCAGCGCGGGTCCCTCGCTGCCCGCGGTGGCAGCAGCGCGGAGTCTGGGAAACCCGCGAAGGGCGGGGCGGGGCGTGCAGGGGCGGGGCTGGGATCCCCGCGCCGCTGCGAGGGTGGGGATTCGGGATCTCCATCTCACCCCGCTTTGCCCGCCTGATTTGCACTGTAGCTTGGTTTAGCCGTCTGTATCAGAGCTGGTGAGTTCTCTGTGGGGCTTGGTGCTGCGTAGCTTACGTGCAGGGACCAGAGGATAGAGACCTTCTCTTTGGTACCCAGGCACTCTAGGAGGAGCCGTCATGGCTCTTTTGGAGCTATTAACTGTGTGATAAAGGCAAAGTGTTGTTGAACTTGTTCCCCTCTCTGCTTCCAGTCCCTTTTAAGTGCTGCTTTGAGATGCTTTTCTCAAGGAAAGGAAGGCATTGGCCTGTAGAGGGGAGAGTGGCAGCAGGTCGATTTAATAGGTACGCACAGCTCACCTGTCTGTCTCTAGAACCTGCCTGGATATTCCTGGGATCTGGGAACCCTCTCCTAGTTTGTCTCAGTCTGGCCTCATCTCTCAGATTAGGCAGGGCAGAGTGGATTTCTCCCCTTCCCCAAGCACCAATTTCCCTCCTCTTCCCTTAGCCTCCCGTCATCCCCCCGAAGGTGGGGCAGCTGGAGTTAGATTGAAGTCTAACACCCTGTGTCCCTGCCCTGGGAAAAAGGTGGGGGGTCACTGGGTGTTTTTTGTGGTCACACCACCCGGTGTTCTGGTGGCTACTGCTCTGACCTGTGAGGAACTATGGGAAGAGCTGCCCCAGGCCCTGATGGTGGCAGAGCTGGCCCTCCTATTTGACTTCACAGATGCCCTTCCTTCCAGTCCTGGCTTGCTGCTTAGAATTACCCCCACCTCCTGCATACACAGTGTCCTTGTAGAAGGAACATTTAGAACAGCACTGTCCAACAGAAATAGTGTGAACCACATCTATAACTTAAAATCTTCTGGTAGTCATGTGAATAAAAAGAAAAAAAAAAAAGAAGCAGGTGTCCTAGTCTTCATAGGCTGCTTTAACAAAATACTATAGACTGGATGACTTAAATAACTCTATTTTCTCACAGTTGTGGAGGCTGGAAGTCCAAGGTCAGGGTGCCAGCACCGTAAGGTTCTGGTGAAGGCCCTCTTCCTAGTTTGTAGATGGCTGCCTTCTCACTGGGTCCACACATGGCTTTTCCTCAGTGCTTGCAGGGGACTAACCCCTTCATGAAAGCCCCTCTCTCTTGACCCTGTCTAACGTGAATTACTTCCCAAAAGACCCATCTTCAAATATTACATTGGGTATTAGGGCTTCAACATACAGATTTTTTGGAGAAAATTAACAAGGTGAAATTGACTTTAATGATATATTTTACTTAGCCTAATATATACAAAATGATCATTTAAACATTAATCAGTATTAAAACAATGAGCCATTTACATTCTTTTTTCATACTATTTCAAAACAGTGTGTATTTTGTACTTATAGAGCATCTCAGTTCTGACTTTCTACATTTTAATAGTCACATTTGGCTAGCGGCTACCATATTGGGTGGTGCAGACCTAGAAGAAAAGGCAGAATTTATGCTGTAATAACAGCACATGGCACTTGTTACAAAGACCAGTATTCAGTTAGTTCTGCAAGTCTTTTGTGTTCTGTGCCTGGACCAGTGTCCTTGGGAAGCAAGTAATTTGGCTCTTGCATTGCAGTGGACATCCCAGACACACATCTGTGTTTCTCACAAGAGCTCCTGACATCTGTCGATCTGCTGTACTTGGGGTTCAGATCAGGGCCTGTGAGGTCACGGTGGAGAGTGTTCCCAGTGGAATGTCAGGAGTGACTAGCTAGGGAGAGGGACCTGACTCTTGTCTGTTCTATCAGGTAGTACAGGCCTTGATTGCCCCAACCTGCCCTCATAGGCTGGCTACTCTCTGATCCAAAGTTGTTGTCCATTTCTTCAGGGGAGAAGTGTGTGTATGTGAGTGAAGTGACGCTCAGGCCCAGTGTAGTGGTAGCTGTCAAGAATGTGGACCATGATGCCCCTCTACAGGGAAGAGTTTGTCCTCTACCTGTCCTTGTACCTGCTGGGCACTCCAGGCTCTGCTGCACCTGGCTTGCTGAACTACCCTTTGGGAGGAGTGGGCATCCTCCTCAGCTCATGGAGACTCTTCCAAGGTAGATGATGTGAGACACTTGCCCATCCTCCCAGGCCCTACAGCTGGGCGAAAACATAAGACCCAGAACCCCATGGCCTCCCACAGCTGGGGTGGGCTTCTGTGGTGTACTGCTTCTGGGGTCTTTCTGGGCATGGAGGATACTCAGCACCTGGACTTCCCCTGGCACTTCACTTGAGGTACTTCTTTTGCAGGAACACCAGTGAAGGACCATCCTATGCCATGGTCCTTTGTTTCATGGACTCCTTTGAGAATCTGATGAAAGATGTGGACCCTTCCCCCAGTAAAATACAAATAAATGTGTATGTGTGTGTGCGCTTGCATACATGCATACATTATACTTGCACACTAACTGTTTTGCACTGATACCTGGAACCTCTGGCCCCCTGGATTGGACTCTGCGAAGTTCTGGCTGCCCTGCACATACCCATTGTCCCAGTCCTGAAGGGTGACTTGCTGTCCTTGGGGGGTGCACTTGGCTTGTTCCCATCTTGCTGCTTCGATTTAACCTGTTCTAGTCACTGGACATGACTTCTGCTTTTTGCGATCATGCCCTGGTCTCCTCCTCCTCCCGGAAACCCTCTCCTGAGTGCCAGTGCATTTAGTTCTGTCCCTGGGAGCTCAGGGTAGTACAAGTGGGGACCAAGGGGCTTCAGGTCAGAGTTTGGATCCAGTTGTAGTTACTGTTACTGGCCTTTTACCATAGACTGGGATCTAGGGGCTGAGGGGGAGCTGGTCTGGGTAATATTTTCGACACTGGATAGACAGCCCTCAGGCAGGGTCCTAGCTGGATGCGCCTCATTCTAGAACAGAGTTTCTCAGCCTTGACACTGTTGACAGTTTGGGCCCAGTGATTCTTTGTTGTGTGTGTGTTTTGGGGGTGGGAGGAGTGTGAGCAGAGCTCTTGCGCATGGTAGCATGTTAGTAGCACCCTTGGTTTCCACCCGCAAAATTTGAGTAGCACTTCTAATCCTGATAACCAAAAATGCGTCTAGGCATTGTCCTGCATGGAGAGTGTAAAATCACCTTAAGTTGAGAACCTCTGATCTAGAATGTTCTTATGCTTTTAAAGAGACAGATAGTTGTGGGAGATGGGGATTCATGGCTAATGCCCTCTCCCCCATCAGATTTGGAGTGGGAGGTAGGATTATCCTCAGAGCTCAGGAGATTTGTACTTTGCTAAACCTGCTCAGCGTGGGAGAGTTTGGTTGGAAACTAGTGGTTCTGGAGTACTTCTGGCCACCGAGAAGAATCCTGGCGTCCTTGAGTTTTCCCAGCAGTGGTTCGGATTTCAGGGAGGCGGCGGTTGTGGGTGGCCGGGCAGCCTGCCCGCCCGCACCCGCCCACCCGCCTCTGACCGCCGCCTTGAGGTTTGCACTCGTGCCTCTCCCTCCCTCCCTTCCTCGCAGAATGTCAGGAAGGGCCTGTCATTGGGGCCTCGGCGCCATCCGGTGGCCTGTCTGCTCACCTGGGAGCCGTTGGAGCTGAGGCTGCCCAGGGGAGCGTCGGCGTTGTAGCGGGACGCGGGCATGCCCTTTCCCCCAGGCGGGCCCACCGCATGGCACCCAGAGGAGCCGCAGCATCTGTGGGCCTGGAGCTTCAAGCCCGGGGACGCCGGGGCAGGGGGGCAACCTCTCCCCAAAGGTATGGGCACTGGTCTCTACCCTGGCCTCAGGGAGTTGGAGGGCAGGGCCAGGCTTCTTCCTCTGGACCTGGGGAGGTGTGGTGGGCAGAACTGCGGGGACAGGTGCCAGCACTGGAGGCCCTGACCCACGGGGTTGATCCCACTGAGCGCCTGTGTGTTGGGCCTGGCAGGCTGGCAGTCCCTGAGTGTATTCTCCACCCCTCCCTGTCCTGCTCCGAGCTCCGCTAGGGAGGGCTTTCTGGGGGGCTCCTCTCCGATCTTCAACTTAGCAAGACACAGCTTACTGCATTAGGAACGGAATACAGACTGGGCACTTAGGGTAGGAGGAAGCCTCCTTAAAAGCTTCAGCTTCCAGGTACTTGGTACCCCTGGGATGTGAAGAGCTTATTTTAAAGAGTTGCTTGCTGGGGTTGAGACTTCCTAGTTTCATCTCTTTTGGGATCTTTCCAAAAGAACTTGGTCGCTGCCTCAGAATTCTTTATCTTTTTTCCCTTTCCTCTCATTCTGTCACCAGTTCTTTGTTCCGGAATAGACACCCACCACCTTGTTTAGGGCTTCCTTTTTGGTGGTTCTCCACCAGACTCACAGGCCTGAGAGGTGCTTGTTCCTTGAAGTCCTGGTGGTGCTGCTCCTGGATGCCTGGGTTGTTAGGCTGGGGTGGGAATGGCGGGGAGGAGATGTTGTTGCCTTTTTCTGAGTCTTTGTATTTTAAGTTTCTCAGTGAGGTCTCTGCCTGAGATGATGGTGGGTACTTTAAATCAGCTGATAATGCAAGCTGGGATTGTTTGGGGGTCATCCATGTCTCCTCCTGGCCGAGGATGAATCATGGCTTCCCACCTTTGGACAGTCACATGCTTTGCTCTGGCCATTCCAGTCTCGCTGTACACATATGTGTGCCTTTTCCAGACTCTCGGACTGGCAGCCCTACTTGGGTGTTTTCATTCATGGACACGTGATTGCTGGGAGCGGGTATTGGAAAGGAAGCGTGCTTCACTGGGCAGATGTGTGGCCTCCTCCCAAGCGGACCTTTTCTAGGGGTCTGGCCTGTTGCCCGCTGGGACTTTTCTCTGGCCAGTTTTTGGGCTGGAGCTGAGGTGTTTTGTGAGATGAGCTCCTGCTCTTGTTTGCAGACATTTCTCTGTCCACTATTTCAGTTGCACTCTGACAACCAAGGAGGCTAAAATTAGTTCTGGGGAAGGAAAAGGAAGGCCGGTTGGAAACCCAAGCCCTTGGCTGGAGGATGGAGGAGGCTTCTTCCCGGGTTTTGTGGCCGATCGTTTCTGAAGATGTGATGAGACCAGCTGTTGTCTGTCCATCTGAGGAGAGGGAGGGGCCCCTGCTTGCCTCCTAGACCTGAACCAATGAAAACAGAAGGCTGACTTGGAAGCTGACTCTCCTGAGTGCTGATGCTAGGATGATTTTTCTTTCTGGCTTGTGTAGTGGTGCACAATGTTTTCAGGTATGAGGACAATGACTTTTTATGTCCAAGTGTCATTGACAGCCCTCCTCCCCACCACTCCCTTCCAGTTGATTCAGAAAGCATGCATGAGTTCTCAGAACCCTGGGCTGGTAGCCATGGGTTCAGAAACCCTTACTTTATTTGCTTTTTGGGTATTTTCTTCTTACCCAAGTTTTGACAGTCTCTTCAGATGTTCATAAGCCAGATAAACCAGTCACCACCGCCCACCACCCCCAGCCCCTTTGGAACTGCTGGCTTGGGTGGGGTGTGAGTTATAGGGGAGCCCTGTGGCCCAGGCCTCATAAGAAGGTCCAGCTTCTCTGTGCCCTGAGCACATAAGGGGATCAGGGTTCATCAGCTCAGGGGCTTAGAAAATAGAGGGGCAGAAAACTTACATGCATTCTAGTTTTCTTTTACACCTATCTGGGTGCTCCTGTGAACTCTCCCCCTGAGGGCCACCTAGGAGGAGAAAGAGAGCCAGGGCAATGCAGTCCTGCCTTTGCTCCTGTGGAAAACTGCATCCAGACCTCCTCTTCTCCAGGGGTCTCCTGGTTAGCTATCCTGGGGTATAGTTTGGGGAGTAGAGGTCACTTTGGCCATAACTTCTTTTCCCATTTTAAGTTTTACTAATTTTTAGTTTTACAGATATACATACAATTGCAAAAACTTAGGTATAGATAAAACTAGGGTCTTTCTGCCCCCCGTCTGAGTCCCTCTCCAAAGGTGAGCCTTCTCAGAATGGCATCTATTTTTCTAAACATTTTACCTGTGCACCTATAGAAGTACGTAGAGAGAGAGAGAGGTTTATTTTTTAAACCTAAAATGCTGTTGCCTTTTTTCAAACATTTAATTGGAATATTAAATATGTATAGAATAATGTAATTATCATAAGTGACAGCTTGATGAATTTTCACAAACAATACATCCATGTAATTGGCATCCCGATCAAGAATCAGAAATTTACCAGCCCCTACCCCCAGTCTCTAACCCTAATCCCTAAGGGTAACCACTGTGCTAACTTCTATCAGCATAAGTCAATTTTGCATGTTTTTTTTTTTTTTTTTGCTTTATATGAATAGAGCCTTATACAATGAACTGTTTGTATTCATTTTTTCTCATCATGTTTGTGACTTGTGTCCGCATTGTGACATCATGGCTTTTTAAACTCAGAGATATGTTTTGGCAGTCTTTCTAATACATGTTGATCTACCTCAGTCTTAATAGCTGTGTAAAGTTTCAAAGTTTAGATATAGACTACATTTTATCTAGTGTCGTATTGATGGACTTTCAGATTGTGTGCAGTTTATGCAGATTGTTTCTCAAGGATTGATGACAAAAGGAATTTCTGGGTTGTAGGACATATATATTTAAAAATTTTAATAGATACTGAGAAATGGCTATGCGGTTTTATACCTCCCCCCATCCCCACGAGGCTACCCAGGTGATGGCAGTAGGGGCAGAAGCTGGCCCAGATGGCAGGTAGCCCTCTAGCAACCTGTGAGCATCCCCTCCCTTCCAGAAATGCTAGATCACAGAGGTTGGAAATAGCCCACTTCATGAGAGGTGCCGGGACAGGGAAGGTACTCACTCCCACTGGCTGGTGTCTGAGAACCAGAGAGGCTTCTTCCTGTGTCTGAGCCTCCTGGTTACTGTGTTGACAGAGCCAAGGGGAGGAAGGGTTGGGATGTCGGTAGCAATGGACTAGCCGGAATATGCTGGTCTGGATTTGGGGTGGATATACTGTGCGTGTCTCTGTGTATACTTGCTTGCCATGCTCCATGCTACTTCTGCCCTCCAGAGACACTGAGCCACCTGCTAAAGGTCACTGAGGAGCTGTAGGTAACAGGGCTTTCCTGGTGACCTTAGTGAATTTGACAAGATCTTGACATGGCAGGAT